AGCTACGATTGTTTTTTCTGCTTAATATTGTATAATGAACTTGAACCATTGTGTATTTAACTCAAATTTTGTTACAGTAGGCTCCATTCTTAACTATGGGTCGTCTGTAACCCAGGCGTTCTTAACCCAGGGTCTACCTGTAGTTTCTATAAAAGATACAGTGGAGTAAAAATGGATGGTGTTTGCTGTTGTTCCAGCCCATAAGGGCAGATGCATTCCTTACAGGGGATGCCTTGGGATCTGCCCTGATCAGCTTGAAGACATTTATCAATTACTCCTTGGTTGTGCATAAAGCTCCAAGTTTCTCTGCTTGAGACCCTAGTTCTGATTGGTTAGCTACATCCTCAGTTCTTAATGTTACTTTGGCTTGCTCGTGGCCCAAGGAAAATAAAAATAAATAAAAAGGGAGAAAAACTATAGAGGTATGGCTTGCTTTCACCTAGATTGAACGTTACCAGAAAAATAAGTGAATTTATTTTTCAGCTAATAGTTGCCAATTGCTAACTAAGCTCTTGTTTCAACCTCCAGCCATAAAACAGCATTTGAGAAACATCTAGGCAGCTGCAAAATTGCTCTAAAGAAGTTGGTTTGGAGTAATTCAAGTGAACTGAGATAAGGGCTAGGTTGTGCACCATAGCACCTGGGAACCTGGCCAGGACTGGTACACTTATGATATGTACCAGCTCTTGTATGTGGAAAATAAAAATCAATATAATTGCTCAGTTCCTTTAACTTGCCAGTACATAGTGTTCTATTTGGGCTTTCATTTTCCCAGAAGAATAGAAAAACACCCCAGTATACATAAAATATTTAATTTATTCCATTTTGTGTCCATTCTTGAGACAATTATGAAACTTAGACCACATTTAATTAGATTATTAATCAGAATGTAGGATATTTTGTCAGAAGCTTTATTGAAATTAATGCACATTGCATCCCTCAGTCAACAATTCCCGCAAAGTTCAAAGTAAGCTACCTCTACCTGATGAAAAAATGAGACAAGATTTATCAGGCAAGAGAAATCCATAGTGACTTTTAGTAATTACTGTTGTGTTTTGAATTTGCTTTGTAAGAACATTTAATTTTGAAACATTTCAAGTGCAAAATTTCATGAAATATTCTATCTTGAGCATGAAATAGCTGTTTCAAGCATGAAATAGGATGCTTTGAGCACTTTGATGGCGTTCTGCTATCCTTCATTTTTTTCCTCATTTTTCCTAAGAGAAAATTAAAAAGTCAAGGAATTAAGTATTTGCTTAGAAAGAATCCAAGATTTGCCTTAATGTTTCCTTTTGCTTTCTGTCTTGCTTTGTTTCAGGTTGAAATAACAACTTAGAATGAAGACCTCTTGTCTTAATGCTCCTTTATTGGACCTTCTTCCTTACCCTTTTTTTCCCCTAAATTTCCTAGCACCCAATTCTTATCCCAACTGCTAAAGGCCCTAGCCAGACCTGTGTTACTGATCTTTCCACTCTTAAACATGCTTAGCCCTCAGTTTGTTGACTGTGACTTCAGCTGTGCATTTCTACTCTCATGCCTTATCCTTCAAGCTTGAATTTTTATTTTCTAGTAACCATTTTCTGTACAGGCAATCTGATAGTGTTTCATGAGAACATTTTCAGTATCCTGATACTACTCACAATGGAGGAATGGTTGGTGAAGATGATGGAACTTGCTGAGATGGCTAAATT